TAACCCGTTATCCTGACTTTTTTTGGGAGAAAGTTACCGGTGCGACAAGGAGGAAGTGAAGCGCACAGGACACAACCATTTCATTGCAGACTGTTATGTTTACGTGGGGAAATGACAGTGCATTATTTGAGATATATTTCGTACTCAGACTTCACTTTAAGGACATTTCGGCCAGGGGTGTGTGTGGTCACTCCAGGAGGCAGCGGGACGTGTAACTCAGAAGAGCAGCACCAGCGCTCAAAGAGCTTTTACGCACCGCCTACTCTGTGTTTACCTTCATTGAACAGCTATAAAGAGTGACCACAGGCTGTTACGTTTTAACCATACACACCTCTACACACACACCGAACTGCCCGATTACTCCCCCTTTTATTAGTTTTATGAAGGAGATCGCCGGTCATCAGGACGCATGATGGGCGGACTGGGACTAAAAATCAGCCCGGGAATCTCACCTGCCCCAGCCGACGTAAACTGTCAACGGGGAGGGGGGGGCAGTCCGCCACTGGCTCTGTGGGGGGTGGTTTGAGTGTTTGTTTCCCTATAAAACAGCTGCGGGGGAAGCAGGTACTCAGCGAGTCACGGACCTTAGTTCATAGATCAAAGCAGACTGGTTTACAGACTCTCCTGTTTTGCCAATCCGGTGCTTAAACCAATAGCTCTACACCCCTGGCCGAAATGTCCATAAAATTAAATTCTGACTTCAAAATATAGTCTATCTCAATTAATGTAAGCTCTGTCATTGCCCCACGTAAACATAACAGTCTGCAATGAAATGGTGTGTTCCACTTCCTCCTTGGTGCATCGGTAAATTTCAAAAAAAAAATAAAGTCAGGAAAACGGATTCGTTTCCTGACTTAATTTTTTTTCTCTCTCCCTTTATTTTTTTTTCCATGTCGCTTTAGGGGCTCCGTAAACATCATATGTGTAATTCGTGGCACAATTCAAACGGGATCGAAAGATAATCTTTCTCTCTCCATTGACTTCAATACATAAGTTTTCCGAAATAAGGTCCCATGGAGGTCCACCGCAAGGGGAGGGACTTCGCCACTCTATAAGTTAACTAATAAAGGAAACAATAACATAAACAACATGTTCCCCAACTTTTGTTCAGTGAGTTGCATGAATCACTTTTGTTTGACTTCTGGGTGAACCTTTTCTCACAAGTGTCACATTTGAAGCGATTTTCACGCGCAGAGGTGGGAAGTTACTAAGTACATTTCCTCAAGTAGCCTACTGTAGGCTACTTAAATAACATTTTTAAATACTTGTACTTTACTAGAGTATCTCCATGTTATGCTATTTTGTACTTCTACTCCACTACAATCCAGAGGTAAATCGTCTAATTTTACTCCACTTATTTTGTACCTTAAATGACTTTGCAGATTTGGATAATATGATATAATCAACACTTAAATAAGACTTTAGTTAAACCTGGAGTAAATTCACAATCTATCCTGCAGTATACAAAGTTATAAAAACTAGCTGCACCGTTACATGCCTTGATAAACACTTAAATTAATAATTAGAATCAAAACATATAATATATATTATTCTGAAATGGACCAATCTGCATAATAAATACTTTTGGTACTTTAAGTATGTTTAGATGCCGATAGTTTTTTACTTTTAATTGAGTGACCTTTTGAATTCAGGACTTTACAGTGTATTCCTACACTCTACTTCTACTTTTACTGAAGTAAAAGATGTGTACTTCTCCCACCTCTGTTAACCGGTGTGGGACCGTGTGCAGATTTTTTACTTTAAGAAAGGATAAAACTCCACATTTTGAAAAAATGTTCTCTGGTTTGTGATCAGTACTGGCATTCACGTGAATTGCTCTTGCATGGCCGGTGGACACTTTGGTTGGGAGGACTCTGGGCCCTTTCTGTCAGATTCAGATTGTAATATTATAACTGAGATGTTGGTTGTGTCAGTGGATCTATGCAAATGACAAAAAAAAAATGACAAATGTGAATTTTACTGAGGCCCATGGTAACTTTAATGTTCTATTTAAACATTCAATACAATAAAGGAAATTAGCCGGCTCTACCAAAGTTTAATATGAGGCAACTCCGGTGACCAAACTAATCAACGTATTTAAATAATATAATAACTTAAGCTCAAGCCCATGTGGCCAGCATTTAAACACCTACTAACAACTTACTTCCACTTACTTATTATGTCCAGCAGACTGGATGACCCTCATTTGCTTATATCTTTAGCGTTTAGGGTGAATCTGGTATTTTTACAGGATGACCAAACAAAGCTTTATAGTTAGATACATACATTAGATCACACAGCATTAAGTGCATCATTACTATTCATTATTACTGCCTTAAGCACCATGTCGATTATTATTTCCAACTTCAGCAAATGTCACCTCAAAACCAAAATAGCAACCAAAAAAATAATTGAATGCCACTGCAAAATACAACACAATGACATATCGCAATCATAAAAGTTGTCTTTGCAAGTTAATGGCAGTATTAAACATGTTAGCATATGTTGAATTGCTCAGTCCCAGAGGTAGCTGCCTGGTGAACATTCATCCAGATGAAAAAGTGCTGCATTTATGTGCCTCGTCACTTGCGTGGGTACATATGGAAATCTACTTGTTGATGTAAACCATGTACCTTTTCAATTCAAAGTTACATTTTCTAGTCAGTGAATCCTTCTCATGTGGATCAATAATTCATCGTTACGTCTGAAATTGATGCCACATGATTTACAAGTAAACGTTTTTTCACCTGTGTGGACTCTCATATGCCTTTTTAATGATGACATGTCAGTGAAGCATTTCCCGCAGGTCATGCAAACATACGGTTTCTCACCTGTGTGGATTCTCATGTGCCTCTTAAAGTTACAGTTATATCTGAATTTGTGTTCACATGTTTTGCAAGTAAATTTCTTTTCATCGGTGTGGACTCGCATGTGTTGCATCAAGTTGCTACTTTCTCTGAAACCTTTTCCACATGTTTGGCAAGAATATGGCTTCTCATCCGTGTGGGTGGTCATGTGTCTTCGCAATTTTGACATGTACTTAAAATCTTTCCCACAAATTTCACATTTGAAATTCTTCACCGTGCAAGTATTACGTTGCATGTCTGACAAGTTAGCGTTGTTTACTTTGTTCATTTTGGTTTTGTGATGTATTTTGTCTATTTCTGGATCCGCAGTTCTTGTTAACCCTGCGTCATTAGAATTGTGAGAGATGAGCTGCAGATTACTTTGTGCTTCTGATACCACAACGCTTATAACTGGCATGTTGCCTACAGACTCTTTTGCACAAGTCTGACCGCTATGCACACTTTCCTCATCAGTAAGAGTCACCACGAAGACATCTGTCTCCTGCTTTAGTTCAAGCTGCTCTTCCTCCTGACGGGTGCAAAGTTCCTCCTGTTCCTCTTTAATCTGTAGAGGCTCTGGGTCCTCTTGGTCCAGACTGGAGTTCCTTTCCTGACTACAGAGCTGCTGGTCAGTGAGAACCTCATCCTCATTACAGACATGTTGCTGAGGGAGCTCTGGAGGGAAGTAGAGGACAGAAAGAAGAGAATACTACTGTAATGGTATAAAACAAGATATATGAGCAGGGAAATACAACCTGTGTTTAAAGCATTATTATCCTAGAATCGCATATAACCAGGTACACTTTTAAAAGAACATTTTAGTTTTACACACCTTTCGTGAATAATTGTATTTCATGTTGCCTAACGATATCCAACAGTTTGCGCTGTCGAGCTATCTCTTCCTCGAACTTCGCGATTGCTTTTTCAAAAACTCCGAATATTTCTCCAGCAGCAGCACTCAGACGCTCGTTTACAAACTCTCTCAAATACTCCACTGAAGACATGTTCAACTTAATAAAATATGTTATATGTATGTGCACTACGACTTCTTGTCTTACAAAAACACGTTATTATAGTTGAAGCTTCTAGACCTGGCATTGTTTACTTCCACTAAACGTCACACTGTTAAGCAGCCTTCTTCTTCTTCTCTCAGATTATTGACGGGTCCCAAACTACTTCAAGGTGCATATCGCCACCTACTGTACAAGAGTGTGCTATCCATCATCATGTCACCAAACCACCACCCGTGGAAGTATGATTAAACTATTTAAAATGATCCTTATCATCCCTGTTTCACCCGGAGAATGAAAACGTTTCTCGTAGCTCTTTCGCCCTCTCCTTATGTTCCCAGTATCCTCATCCTCATCAGGCTCCACTACCGGCCTGACCCTTTCACTGAGCTTCTCTCCTTTTCATAATGTAAAATTACATTTTACATATTTTCTTTGAGAAGGTGTGTCCCAACTTTTGACTGGTACTGTACATATATATATTTCAAGTCAACCCTCAGCAGTGAAACACCAGGAATGGGAATTGAGCCACCCATTCTCTTAATGCTAACATGAGGGAATGTGTTGAAAATCCAATTTAAAGCTAACCTCAACACAGTGAGGTAATACACGTCTATATAAATTGCTACATTCCACCACTCAATATGAATCAATTCAAATGATAATCTTCAAAATAGTATTAAAAGAATAATTAACTTCCAACTGGTGAGCTGCAACACCTCTTGAATGTTAACACAAATACTCTGAAGTAAGATTAATTTGTTGTCAGTCACACATCCATCTACCACTTTGATTAACAGAATGTGCTCATAACTTTAGATTTCTGAGTAAATTGCTCTTTAATCATTAGCATTAAAAGTTTCCATTGTTACAACACATACCAGCATACACACATCTGAAAACGTACCACTTAGTTGGCTGCGCCCCTTCGAGCAGTGGCCATATTCATCTCTGCTTCAGCTGATGTGTTTACAGCACTATGTCGTACCACAATATGTGGGTGTGTATCCCCTTTAAAACCCAAAACAAAAAAAGATCAGGATGATTTTTTTTTGAATACTTAAAAAATATAAATCAAATTGAAATGTTGCAGACAAACAGAGAAAATACTTGCTGGCAGGATGACAACACAGGTTTCTCAGTTTCAACATCAGTTAATAAAAAAAAGGTATCAAATACAAAATAAAAATAATAGTCAATTAACTGGTCAACGATTTTTCCTGTTCATGAATTTTCTTGTCTGGTTTTATGAGAAAAAAATGTCTCTCCACTTTAATGGGTTTCGGTATGTTGCCCTGAAGCATAACAACTGAGTTCTCTCAGGGTTTAAGAATATACTGTATGTGTATGCAATTTCTTATATGAGACACATGGAATACTCTTTCAAACAAGTGTTGCAATTACATGGTTTCTCACTAGTGAGGCTCTCCTCATGTCAACTGTAAAGTCTCCTCAGAACTGCCCCAAGTTTCACAAGAAGACTGCTTCTCAGGTGTATGCATCCTCATGTGCCATTTCATGTCCATCTTCCGACGGTATCTCTTCCCACAGATATTGCAGACATGTGGCCGTTCATCTGTGTGGGTCTTCATGTGGTTTGTCACATCATTTTTAAGTCTGAAATGTTTCCCACATATTTCGCATGGATATGGCTTTTCACCTGTGTGGATTGACTCATGTTTCTTTAATGTTGCAATGTCTTTAAATGTTCTCCCACAGGTGTTGCACAAATATGGCCTTTCACCTGTGTGAACCCTGAAGTGTCTATTCAACGTGGTTCTGTCCTTAAATTCTTTCCCACAAGTGTCACATGTGTAAAACGTTAAACCTGTGGGAGTATCCCGGCGAATCTTACATGTAATGTTGCTGTGACGTGTCTTTTTTTGTTCAGTCTCTGAATTTGTAGTTGATCCTGAATCTCCATGCTTGCCTGCTTTTTGATATTGGATCTCAGCTTTATGAAAGTTGTGAGAGACGAGCTGCTGGTTACTGCTTGGTTCTGGTACCACATCCATTATTGCTGGTATGTTGCCTACACACTCTTTATTCACTGCACTTAAAATCTCATATGAATTAAAGTTCTGATCTTCACTGTGCTCATTTTCCTCATCAGTAGGAGTAACCATAAAGGCCTCAGTCTCATGCTTCAGTGCAAGCTGCTCTTCCTCCTGAACAGTGTAGAGTTCCTCCTGTTCCTCTTTGATCTGTGGAGGCTCTGGGTCCTCTTGGTCCAGACTGGAGTTCCTTTCCTGACTACAGAGCTGCTGGTCAGTGAGATCCTCCTCCTTCTGATAGATATACTGCTGTGGGAGCTCTGGAGGGACAAAAAATTAACAGGTAGTGTTGTGTCAGAAAAACTGACACCACCAGAGCAAATGTACACAGGTCTACATTCAAAATATAGGATATTGCATGAGTTTCCAGCATTTTTCTGACAGACTGTTTCCAAAACGAATGACACACTCGTCAACAACCTTATAGGGTGCTCACAGGCTAATGGTATATTATAGCTGCTAAACAACATATTATACATTTAGTACACATTGATAATTCACGGGGTTCTCACCTATCCTGCGTAAATGTATTGCAGGTCTCAAAACTATATCCAATAGTTTGCGTTGACGAGCGATCTCTTCCTCATACTCCACGACTGTTGTTTTAAAAACTTCAAATATTTCTTCAGCAGCAGCAGTCAGTCGCTCGCTCACAAATCCTCTTAAATACTCCACTGAAGACATTGTTGCTTGAATGTCGATTTAATATGCACATAACCTTCGAGTACAGTATTGTCTTTGAATTTAAAAATCCTGCATGCAAACAATTATGCTTAGCTGACAGCGCTGGTAATGCTTACTTTAAAACATCCATCGTTTACTTCCGCTATTCTTTGTTATAGCAGGCTCATTGCCGCCACCTTCTGTGTTGGAGTGTGGAACAGAGTTATTGATTAACTTATCCAAACATTAAAAAAAATAGACAGAGAAGACCAAAAAACACAGCTCAGCTAACTATGACATTTAAACACCAAGGGAACTCTGAATATTCACATTACTAATACCCAAAAATAATTTTTCATTGGAATAAACATCGGAAGAGTTTAACAACCGCACCACATGGCCTGTCTACTTCCGGGGGAAAACATATCTGGATGGCAAAGCTTCGTGAAGCAAAGTATTTGTTAAAATATAAGCTTGCGTGTGTCCTTTCGTTGCAGATATACTAGGAATTAACTAAACATGCATCCAAATATTAGTTTTTAGCACGGGGTCTGTTTCCATTCAGCTTTAGTTCATTTACGGGGTTTTAAACAGTGTCTAAATGGGTGCATATTACTGTGCTATATGTAGACAGACAACATTCACCGGGAAGAAACATATCTTCGAGAAAAATCACCAAAGCACACTAAGAGTGGTTCTTTTAAAATTCTTAGAAAAGGTTAGTAGGTTGTTTTCAAATAATTATGACCGATATATACGTATTTTGTGCTCATATTACTCCCACCTCAACGAAATTGACCGTACTAACCATGATGCAAACAGTAGCTGCAACCGTTGTCACAAAGTAAATCATAATTGTTGTGTTTTAAACCTTGTTGTGTTACAAACCAAGACATAATGTTTAAGGGTAACTTTAGCTTGCTTTACTTACTGTCTCATAGGTAAAGGAAGCTCGCCGGACACTTAAAAAACCCCAGGTAGAAAAATTTGACTGCACCCAGCACAAGAAGACTTTCTGGTGCTACTGCTGTGGGCTTGAAATTGATAGAAATGTCACAGACGACAACATGACTGTGCTGTACGGAGGCTTGTTGGAACACATGGCCACGTAAGTTTTTCTTGAAATTACATTTGTTAAGCCGATTTTGATTTATATGATGCCATGCTCCATCAAATTCAACCACAGGATGGTTGACACAGACACCAGAGGGGTTGATAAAGTATGGCCAGTTAACAATCTTTTTATTTAAAAGCATTATTATTATGGTTTTCTTTTGTTATGCCAATTAATCAAGGTAGTGGGTAAGCACAATCGACACTTACTCATTTATATTTGCTGACATACTTTTACAAAGGCTTAAGACATAATAAATTGTTTTTATATCATCAGCATCATCAATCCGTCTTATTTATAAAATGTTTTTAAAACATCCCTTTTTACCTAATCCAGGAGATCGTTTCAGGAAATTCTTACACTTTTTAAAGGCAACCGAACAACAAATATTTGCCAGTGAGGGATATGGTGTGAAGCTTTTCCAGACGCGTGGTGTTGACAGCAAATCAGGTCTTCTCTTTGAGTGCATTTAAGATGTTTATTTGGATTTCAGGATGATGACAGCAAAACAAGAGCCGGGTGTTTAACTGATAACTAAACAACTAACTGTGATAAAGAAATAAACCGAAATTAACTCAAAACAAACAGAAAATAAGCGAAAACACGCACGCTTGAAAAACTGTGTGGCTTCCCTCTGGTGATTCCCAATCCCTAATGCTGTGCACCTGTGGCCTCCCCAAATAGTAGGCTGTACCCTGAAATTGGCTGAGTCCCCGGCTATGCCCAGCTCAATTCAGTAGTATCACAGCACTTTCATATACAAATATTAAAATACATCAAATTGGCTGCAACACACTTTTTAAAAATGTATCTGGTTTTAGCCCCGAGCACAGGAGGAATACTCACAAGTTCTGGTGGGAGAATAAGGCCGACCCCAAGTTAAGAGACAAAGTCATCGTCACAGAAGAGGAAACTGAAAGGTAGGCCTGGCTGATACAAAAATGTATATTCATACTGTGTGTTTGGAGAATTGAAGATCATTGTTTATTTTTGTTTAGGTTTAAAGTTGAGGTGGCAAAAGCGTTGGAATCATTTGTGGAGCATGAGGATGAATTCATTAAACAGGTGATGCAAACATACTTTTTTTTTACATAACCTCTATTACTCAACAAAGCTGTGAGTCTTCAGCCATACCAGTGGCTCTATGAATCTGTACTTCGACATAGTATGGCTTAGAGCTTTATAAAAACATCAGCACGCTTTCAAAAACAATGCTGATATAAAGAAGGTCACTATGGTCACTCACCATCTAATTTAGCGTGCCATACA